ACGTGCATCAATGAGCCTTGGTCGGCCATAACCCTGTCTCCTGTTTCCACAGGAGACGGCTTTCCTTCCCTTAGACCGCTTTTGAAGAATGGAGACGTCAAAGTCGCTCAAATCCTAATTCTGACCATTTTTCCTGCTTCTAACACTTCAACTTTGAGGACAAAGTGTTCACTTCCTGCCTAATATATCCCATCCACTGAGGGGTGCAGTGATAACAAGATAATTAGTGTTATTCACTTTACCTGTCAGTGCTCATAATGTTATGGCTGATCTGAAATCTGGTGGTACTTTCCTGTATAAAGTCTCAACAATGGAACTATGGATATAAACAATGAATCCCTATGAGAGCAGATCAGAGCATTAATGTAGTTTTAGGATGATTCCAATGCGGCGTTACCGAGTCATAACAAACCTGTTGAGACACCGCTTGGTGCTGGTGGAGACGGCTGGTTTGTGTTTCCATGTAGGTCGAGGTATGAAGCCAAGGTCGCCTGGTCTGTAGCGGGCAAGCAGGAACAATGGATCTGTGGCTCTGTTCAGGGTCTCGGCACTGTGGAAGAGAGTTAAGTCCATTACAGCTCTATTCTTAAATGCAGTTGTTGTTTGAATATTTTGATGACATATACCTGGCTGTTTTGGGGTCAGTGGTCTGCGGCGTCTGTCCTTGACTGCTCTCCTCAATTGAGATTTTAAGAGTGGGGCCTGTTTCTTTGGGGGCAGCTTTCTCCAGGACCTCCAGCAGCCGCTTCTTCTTCCGCTGAGTGTTTGACGCCTTCTCTGAGTCCTGCAGAAGGATCTCAATTATATTATATTCCTGTTATCATATTTGTTTTAATTCCATTTTGCGGGTTAATAAAATCATATTCAAATACTTCCTGTTCACATAAGTAAGAATTAAATTTTCAGCCAATAGAAATGCTTGAGAGTTGCTGCTTTTCACATAAAATTATATCATAAAATGTACACTGGATCAATAAACCAAATTATAGCTGTGAGAAAAAAATCTGAGTAAAAAGCCTTAAAGTCATTATAAGTAGTGACATATTGACAATAAAGCTATTCTTTCCATTCATTCTTGACCGTAGATGACTCTGGCTTATTGGCAAATAATTTCTGAAACTATATTTCAATTTTATTTGATCTATTTGTCAGATTTTTTAATATTTTATTGCTTGATTCATCTTTATTTATCTATTTGCTAGACTCGTTCTGGAGTTGATATATTACTAATAATAACACACTGATACAATTGATATAACAATATATCACTGTGAAAGGTACAATTCTGTGCAAGTATTTTACTTCTGATACCTTTTTTTAAGTTAATTTATAATAATAGTTGATAGTTCTAATAATGGTATAATAATTTAATCCAAAATGTTTACTCGTAATGGATTATTTGACAATTCTGGATTGTTTTTGACTTAATAAAGATCTATAGCGAAGGATCTGAATACTTCTTCCACTGAGCAGCAGAAGGTACATGAGTTGTCTGACTGTTCTGGATCAAAACCAGAATCATCTTCCCTCTCTGGAATACAGCTCCCACAAATATTATTATATCCCAGAGCTGAAAGTCTGCAAGGTTTCATTTCAAGCAACAGGACGCTGTTTTTACCTCCATGATGTGTCTGAGAATGACGACTGCTTCCCATATGATGCCCTCCAGCTCCCTCCTCCTGCTCCTCTCCCACTGTAGCTCGGCCCCCAGCTGACTGGCTTCAGCTGATTTTTGTCTGCACTCCTCGGACGCTGAGGCCAGTTCCTTACTGAAAACCCAACATAGAAAATAATAGCTTGATTATTCAATATTTGTATACCTCAGTGGTAGAGCGTTTGACTGCAGATCAAGAGATCTCTGGTTCAAATCCAGATGACGCCTGACTAAGAATTATGTTGTTTCAGTGATGATGATGTAATTCGTGTTTAAAACCTTCAGTAATGTGGCCTCAACATTAATATTCAACATTCTTGAATTTCCACCTTACATGACAATAAATGTCATGGACAGTAGAAAGATGAAACTTTTACCTCAGCTCCTCTTCCCTGGCCAGCGTGCGCTTGTGGGCGGCACTACAGCCCTTTAGATTCCCCTCCAGCTGCTGGCGCTTGTTCGTCTGGTTCCCCACCTCCTGAAGAAGGAAATATGTTCACTGATTGTGATGATTTTGTTAAGGTGAAGGAGGTTATATAGTTTGCCTTACATGTGTGTTAGCAATCTAACAAAAATTCTACAACAGTGGTGGAAAAGTAATTATACAAGAATGATGAAGAAAAATGGTGTTACAAAGGCTGCAACTTCACAAGTTGGTGTGTAACATGTAAGCTCATTTTGCCTCCATTTCAAGCTTAGCTAGTTAAATGTTACTTCAGAACTGTCAACAAACATTGGAGCCAAGTCCTGTCAACAGAGACAGTGATGTGAAAATGTTGGGGTATAGCTAAGTGGCTAAGTATATCAAGAGGTCTCTGGTTCGAATCTGGATACCCCTGCGTCAAAATTATACCACTTGTGGTAACATTGTAAGATGTCCACTTACCCTCTTGTAGATGAAGCTCTCCATGGCGTCACTGTTAATATCTTCCCTCACTAGGCCAATCTCACATAAAATCACTCCTTGTTTGGCTTCCAGGGTGTATCTCTCCTCCCACAGATCCACGTTCTCATTCAGCAGGAGCTGGAACTGCTCCACCCACTCGCTGCGCTGAGCCCTCTCCTTCTGAATAATGTCTGAGGCCTTTGTGTTAATGATACTGTCCACCTTGTTCTGTATCTCGTTAGACAGCCTGTTGTTGGAGGGCAGGGGAAGGTAAGGGTAAACATTAACTGTATGCCGTATTTTTGAAGGAACAGTTAAACCAACATTGAAAAAAGAGATCAGCATGAAAAATTCCCCTGATGATGTAATGCTAACTGCCCCAGACTTTACTTATCCCTCTCGAACGCTGCGTCCGTCCTCATGATGCAGATTGCAGCTTCATGCTCTTTCTTCTGACTGACCAGTTGCTTCTCTAGAGACTGCTTTTTGGACAGCTGCTGCATCAGCTGCATGATCTGCTCGTTGTGCTCCTCTGAGAGGGACGGGAGAGTAAAGGAGGAGAGAAGAGGATGCTTCTTACAGTATGCTTCACACAAAGTGCTTGGAACAGTGTTTGAAACCCCCTCCCACCACACCTCTACCCCCTTTGGCTGGTTTTTGGTGCTTTTTGCAACTTTCCAAAACAGACAGTTTTGAACTTTATGCAGCACTTTTGAGCACGCTGAACCCTTTACACCAAGAATCCAGTCTGAGTACATTAACATCCTTTTGCATGGTGATTACACTAAAGTCTAACAATTATTTAACTGATTATTTATTAATGTTACAGGTCCAATGTGATGAAAGATCCATCCATGTCTCTGGATTTTTGGTTGTCAAATTTTAAAAATGCATTTAAAAAATATTAAAAAATGCCAAATGTTCATAGACTTGTCCTCCACTTGGGGACCTAAATAAAAACTTAAGGCTGTGGTCATAGATTATGAGGCCACCCATAAAACATGGCAGTCATTTACCTACCTGCAGATCTATATCGGTTTGCAAAGTTATTTAATCAATTTGTAAATAATTACAAATAATAATAAACAGAAAATAAATTCAAATCTATTTATAAAATCATTTAATCACTGAAGCTGTTAATCAAACTAAAATGCCAAACACTTATTGTTAAGAAATTAATCAATAATAATAGTTAATAATAATAAACCAATAAACGTGGCCTCACCCTGCTTAGTGGACAGGGAGTTCAGTTCATCGAACCGTTCCTGTAGCTCCTGCCTCTGCTGGCTGTGCTGCATCTTCAGGGCCTCTCTGTGCTGTTTGTCAGCCTGCTGCTGACTCTCCAGCCGCTCAGTCAGCTCGTTCACCTCCTTCTCTTTTGTAGCCACAGCATATTTCAGGTACTCAGTGATGTCTTTCTTGTCTTCCTCCAGCACACTGTACTGCGAGGCGAGGTCCTTGTTCTGTTTCTCCAGTTCGTCACATTTAAGCTGACATCTGCAGGATAAAGAGAGATACGTGGTCTTGAGGGGTTTTAGGCAAGAATCTTCTGTGGTTTGTGTTGTAATTAGAGCATTTACACAGATTAGCTGCTTTCCTTTGATACTAAATTGAATATCTTTGGATTTTGCACTGATGGTTTAATAAAGCATGCAACTTGAGTACATTGCCTTGAGCTCTGGGGAGTTATAATCAGCATTTTGCACTATTTTCTGACATTTCAAAGACAAAACAATACTAAAATAATCATATTAATTGATAATGATAATAACAACATTGTTAGTTGCTGCCCTAGCTGGAACAGCACTTTACATGTCACTATTCATTCTGGATTATCTTTTGTATTTGTTATACCATATTTCTTTTTACTGTATTTATTATAGTATATATACTAGTATATCATTATATTATATATTATTAGTCTTATTACCATCTTATGTGGCACAAACATATTGAGAGGTACAATCTGGTGCTAATGCCAGCAGCTAACATCACTCTGGGTAACACTATGAGCTACGCAACTAAATCTGGAAATTATTTTTAATATGTGTAAAAGACACAATTATATATCATTCAGTATTTTAAAAAATTATTAAGAATGTATTATTATTATCCCCCCCCCCCCCACGATTATCTGATTCAGATGAAAAATGCAGCATTATTTTCTGATTTAATGAAAGAAAAACAGCATCTTAAGCATTCGATAACCTGCTGACTGCTAATGAGCTGTGGAGATAGCATTATACACAAGATAATAATCCTGTTCACACTGACAGGGG